TTTAAACGATTACGCTCTCAAGTCATAAACGTTCATCAGACATAATATCGCTTGACATAATGACGCCTAACGTGAATCATCGACTTTAAATAATTTTTAATAGGTTTATCACTTTAGTTGTTTTTCTAATTTGCAAATGCTTTTTAATTTTTTAGACTTGGGGGAAAATCTATGCAATGTTATAACATAGTATATAAATATTGTGGCTTAAATATTTTCATAACATTAAAATATAACATGGTGTTAGAAAAACACGTTGGTTCAAGAAGTCTTGATAGAAATTAATAAAAACCTTATAACCTGAGTGTATGAGCTACACTGTACCGGAAATGAAATGCTTACAACAGTACATAGAGAAATAAACTAAACATTTCCTGGAAAACTAGATGACCTTCGTGACGTCACTAAACTCCCTTTATATATACATATCACTCATTTGATTACACCACCATTCCCAATTTGCCCCTAAAAAAAAAGGGTCCACCTTTCGAAAGCGCTCGGGTTATAAGATTTTTATTCATTACTATTAAAATATAACATGTATTTATTGAGGTACATTGATAAAAAATGGCAATCTGTTTGTTCATGGTTAGGATCTTACCTGAACAGAATGTTCGAAGCCCGAATATCATCGTACAGTTTGGTTTACACATCTTTTCTTGTGTTCGTCAAATTATCGAGCTGGCCCTTAAATTGAATAGCTTCATTAGTGGTCACGTAAAATGAATGTTGAAGAACCCCACCTCTCCATTGTTCTCTTAGCGAAACTTATCTGACGATGTGACTTTGGCATTCCGGAGAGTTCCGATGATGGTTAAGGTTAAATGTAGCCTTCAGCTGTTTGTTCTTGGTAAATAATGAACTGATCTAGCTTACATAGCTTTGCTTTTTCCATCAAGAGAACTCTGCTAGAAGCTATATGGACATATTTATTGTTTTAGTTGAAATAGTTTTGTGGTAAAACATGTTCGTTCTTTCTCTTCGTTGAACTTGACTAACTTGCAAAGTCTCAGGCTTCGTAGTTAATGTTCGCTCAATTTTCAAATCTCCATAATAAAATATCTAGTTTTGTTTAACACATAACACTTAGAACTTGGCTTAAAACTTTTGAATAGTATAATGTTCTAAGCTAAACCCTTTATTATTTATATACCGACGTGTCATTTTTAAACTGAACGTTTTTAGTTACGTCTCGTGTAATTCTTGCGAATTCTTATTACCTTTTTAAAACTTTTCTTTAATCACTGCGCCCTCTAGTAGTTCCATTATGTTTGGAAAATTCTTGTGTGTGTGTGAGAAGCACAAAGTTTTTGTACTTAGTTATGGCTTGACTATGGAGTCTGGATGCAATGTTTAAAGTTGTAGTGCAGACAATTTGTATTTACCATATCACACACTGTTTGGTGTAAAATTCACAATATTTGTTTCATAGTTAATGTTATTTTAATTTAGATCAAAATCGTTAGCCTGGCAAGTTTTAGTGTTTTGTTTTTACAAACGATTTACTTCTCCAACAACATTGGATTTTAATGTAGAACTTGAACATGAAACCACAATAACAAGAGGTTCAGAATGAATTGTAATGCAAAGTTTTAATACGTTTGCCTCAACTGAAATATGTAGACTTAACACAAGTGTTTTAGTAAAGAAAACACATTATTAGAAATTAACAAAACATCCTGACACTTGATCTCCATTTTCAGACTGAATGACAAGAATACTCTTTACTTACAGTGTTGGGTATTCTACAGAAAATAAAGCAAATTTGTAGTTTCAGTGTTTGGGTACTCTACAGTGGAGTCAAACTACTGTACAGGAAAATAAGGCAAATTTGAGTTTTAGTTTTGCTTGGAATTACCTTATAAACTCCAAGCTATGCTATAACTCCCAGAAAGCCAGATCATATACATCACTAGGTAAATCCCATTAACAAATATGGAAACCAGAGTTCCTAACATATCTATCTCCATGTATGACCAACATGCTAGAAACTCATAATGATTAGCCTAAAGAATTATCCAGCAAGTGTGAAAATAGGCATGTCTAACATATGAACACGTGCAACAGTTCCTAAAGGCAGGATTAACACAGTTCAGGGAGGGTACATCCTGTTAATATGGAAATTGCAAAAATAGAAAAAACCTGCAATAAAATATACTTTTGTTTGTTGGTTTTTAAGCTACATAAAGGCTATCTGTGCTGTGACAACTATGGGTATCGAAACCCGTTTTTTAACATTATAAGCGTTCAGAGACATGCTGTTGAACAATAAGGAGACAAAATAAAATTTAGGAAAATGTTTTGAATAAAGGAATACTCATATAGTATAGTTCAGAATGACTTAATTTATATCACTGCATATAGTGTTAATACTACTCAATTCTACTAGAGTAACAAAGAGGATGACAGTAAATCCTTCTAGAATAATTCTGACATCATGTGGAACAGGATGTCCTTTTTAAATACTAATAATTATTCTGAAGGTAAGGAGAAATTAAGATGTTACTCCTTAGTTCTCATGTGTTCAAAGGTAAAAACAATTTTGGGATGTTACTTAAAGTACAAATTGAAATACCAAGTTTGTACATGATCATTGTTCTACTTTCAAAACTTGGGCATGCACTTACAGGGACAACACTGTTATTGTCTGAATTTTCAAGCAAAGAAATCTTAAACTTTAGTAGAGTACAACAATCTTTAAAAAATCCTTCACGAAAAACTTACTAATAGGTTCAGTGGATCATTCTTTGATTTTTTTACAGTGAGCTTTGTTGCTGCTGGTACTACATCACCACGTTAATAGTAATACTTAATATTTCACCATAGCAAATTGACCATTACATTTGTGAAACTTGTGTCAGTTTTATTTTTATATAATTTTTAATGGCAGCAAATTATACTGACAGGGCCGGCCCTGTAAACTGGTGTTTTATTTTTTCTTATTTATTACTGTACCTAAGAATCAATAAACAATACTGAATGTGTGTCAAATGCAGACTATGTGAATTTGTAAAATGAACACTAATATTTTAGGTTTTCTCTTAGTTACAAACTTATATACGTACAATTAAAAATCTTGAAATTCCTCTTTACATTAGAGAGATGACATTTTGTTAAGCACATGTGCAGATTTTTCTTACATTGAAACTAATCTCGTTTTTGTGGCAGAATTATCCAAGATGAAACATATGTTAATTCTAACAGGTTAAAGTGTATAACTACACAGCATTTTTAGCCGATATTTTAATCTCCATTACTTGCTACTTTTTAAATATTGGCTGTAATGCACATTAAAAACAAGATTGTATAAAAAAGTAAAGCACCAAAATCTTAATGATAAACAAATACCAGAACAAATGGGCTTTTACATGTTTTTGAAGATTTATTTAAAAAAAAAACAGTACATTAAAATCTGTACTGTTAATGGTTACTTATACTGTATTAGTGGACGTAAAAAAAACATTACATTAAAATCTGTACTGTTAATGGTTACTTATACTGTATTAGTGGACGTAAAAAAAACATTACATTAAAATCTGTACTGTTAATGGTTACTTATACTGTATTAGTGGACGTATAAGCATCATATAACTATAACTGTAACTCAAACAAATTACACAATAAAATATTGTTTTTCCTCCACATCCCTATAACTGTATTTCAAACAAGTTACACAATAAAATATGGTTCTTCTGCTACATCCCTTTACCTGGAACTCAAACAAGTTACACAATAAAACATGGTTCTTCCGCCACATCCATATAACTTTAATTCAAACAAATTACACAATAAAATATGATTCTTCTGCCACATCCCTTTAACTGGAACTCAAACAATTACACAATAAAATATGGTTCTTCTGCCACATCCCTTTAACTGTAATTCAAACAAATTACACAATAAAATATGGTTCTTCCATCACATCCCTATAAATGTAACAAATTACACAATAAAATATGGTTCTTCAGTCACATCCCTTTAACTGTAACTCAAACAAATTACACAATAAAATATGGTTCTTCTGCTACATCCCTTTACCTGGAACTCAAACAAATTACACAATAAAATATGGTTCTTCTGCCACATCCCTATAAATGTAACAAGTTACACAATAAAATATGGTTTTTCCTCCACATCCCTATAACTGGAACTCAAACAAGTTACACAATAAAATATGGTTCTTCTGCCACATCCCTTTAACTGTAACTCAAACAAATTACACAATAAAATATGGTTCTTCTGCCACATCCCTTTAACTGTAACTCAAACAAATTACACAATAAAATATGGTTCTTCTGCTACATCCCTTTAACTGTAACTCAAAACAAATTTCACAATAAAACATGGTTCTTCCATCACATCCCTATAACTGGAACTCAAACAAGTTACACAATAAAATATGGTTCTTCTGCCACATCCCTTTAACTGGAACTCAAAACAAATTTCACAATAAAACATGGTTCTTCCATCACATCCCTATAACTGGAACTCAAACAAGTTACACAATAAATATGGTTCTTCCTCCACATCCCTGTAACAAGTTACACAATAAAATATGGTTCTTCTGCCACACCCCTTTAACTGGAACTCAAACAAGTTACACAATAAAATATGGTTCTTCCCTCACATCCCTATAACTGAAACTCAAACAAGTTGTACATTACTTTCAGTAGTACTACAAGACATAACGAAACAATTTAGACTTGTTACTGTGACATTTTTCATACAAAGTAGAGAATTATAAGGTTCACAAAAATGAGAGAAAAAATTTACAATTATCTTAAACAAATAAATGCTATTTCCCAGTTCAAAAAGAAGTGTAAATTTCCCCTTCCAAAAATATACCACCCATTTATTTGATTTTTACTTCGATAAGAGCTTAAAAAATGAGTTATTTATTCACTGTTAAAAAAAAGCATAAACACAAAATTAATGAACTGTTTGTGTGTGTCAACATTATACAAAAAAAAATCTTAAAACATTCAAGAATAGACCACACCTTTTAGAAAAATAAATTATGGATTTTTCTTTTCTTTTTATACTATACAATGTTTTAAAAAAGTACATTTATATGAACTCGGGGCTAATGCCATAGTACTCTTAAACTGTGTTTCTCCTTGTTCAAACAGCAAGTGTAACACTGTTCTCCAAACGATGGACAAATGAATCTCCAGATTCCTTCATACTGTTGTCACAAATACATGATCCACAACCACCTCTAGCAGTCTTGAAAGGATGTGGTCAGTTTTAAAGAGTCATAGCTGAACACTAAAAAGTCGGAACACCTGAAAATCTAGATGTTTTAAAGACATATAACAAAACTGAATAGAATCAGTTTACAATAGATGACCATTTACTGGTATTATGAGAACTGTGATACAAGACAATTTCAAAGAAAAAATAAAGAATACAAAATAATATTATAACTAAACTACAACACACTGGCTTTTATAATTTACAGGGAACCTATCATAATAATAAAACATTTCCTAATAACATTTAAATCATATATAAGTAACAATCACTATTAGTAGGTGAATCACACAATCTATAAACATTCACGATTTATAAAAGACATTATAAAGACAGATAATCTTTTCAAAGTTTAACAAGTTGCTATATAAATATATACAAATATTACGAAAAAAAAAACCTAAATAAAAAAAGGTATGTAGGGCTGGCTACTGAAACGGAAGAAGATAGAAGTGGACATATCACTAGATCTGGCTAATGATCACGTAACAAACTATGTTATCTTGTCTTTACATGGAGAATAAAATTCCCACATTATTGGCTTCCTAACTTGGTGTTTGAACATAATCTAAGCTTTTGTCATTATATTTTTCCTTTAATTAACTTTAAAATACTACTTTTATGGTTAATTTAAAATTGAGTAGCATTTTACGATTGAAAATTATGGTTCTATCTGTTTTACCAGTGAGAAAGCCAGTATTGTAGGGTTTTGTATTCTGCACGTAAAGTCGAGAAAATTATGGTTCTATTTGTTTTACCAGTGAGAAAGCCAGTATTGTAGGGTTTTGTATTCTGCACGTAAAGTCGAGACAGCTTAGTTTGCTACCTAGGGATACGTCCACTTCCATTTCTATCTTGTTTGGTTCCCTTTTTATAAGTTCAGTAGCCAGGACTACATAGCTTTTTCATTTAGCGATAAATCTTTTTCCTAATACTTGTTTGTTTACATTTTTTTTTATAAGATGGCATAAGTGGATTACAAGGTTATAGTGTATATATTCTAAATCTATAAAAATTTTGCATAGAATAATAAAATAGATAGTTAAGGATCGTGAAGACTGTTTTGCTCTATCAAAAGATAAAATTATAGTTACTGCTAGAACCAGGTTAAGCACTAGGCCTCTTGAAGAAAGATGATGATGAACAAAAATAAAAAATCTTGGTTTTGGCTGTTCACCACCTTAGGACACTGGAATTTTAGACTTAATTTATAACAATTACACGACTTTTAATTTCCTGTACTTGATTTTAAGTTCCTCCTAATTATCAAAACCAACTCAGTTTCCCTCCAAGGATACCTCAATATTCATTATTTATTTCTCATTTTTATGACGTAATAAGTGAGATCGTAAGTGAGCTTTTTGCCTAAATGTTTTTTTGCAGACATCACAACCATATGGTTTCTCACCAGTGTGAACCAGCTGATGTTGTCTTAAGACAAAAACTCTTGTAAATTTTTTACCACAGACATCACATTTGAATGGTTTCTCACCTTTATGAGTCAACTTGTGTGATTTTAAATGTGAATGTGATCTATAAGCTTTGTCACACACATTACAACTGTATGGTTTCTCGCCAGTGTGAATCATTATGTGACATTTTAAATTTGTATTCTGTCGAAACTTTTTGTGACAGATGTTGCATTCATAAGGTTTCTCTCCAGTGTGGATTTTTCTGTGACTTATTAAGGCAAATTTCTGTGCAAATCTCCTGCCACACACATCACAACAGTATGGTTTTTTTTTCCTGTGGATAACAGAATGGTTTTTAAGGTAAGGCAACAACTTAAATGCTCGGCCACAAACGTTACAGCTGAAAAGTTTACTTTTTCTGTGGATTAACTGATGATTCCATAACGATTTCTTATTTATAAAGTCTTTACCACACTCATCACATTTCAACCGTTCCTCCTCACCACAGCTCAAAAGTTTAGTTCTTTTGTGGATCAACAGATGTCTCTTTAACTGCTTCTTATTTTTATAGTCTTTACCACACTCATCACATTTCAACCGTTCCTCCTCACCACAGCTCAAAAGTTTAGTTCTTTTGTGGATCAACAGATGTCTCCTTAACTGCTTCTTATTTTTATAGTCTTTACCACACTCACCACAACTCAACCGTTCCTCCTCATCATCACTCTTGTTTTCAGTGTAAACCTTGTGGCGCGTTCTTAGTTTCCTACCTTCTGTTTTGTTCGTGTCGTTCATGGAAACGCTAGTTTTATTAGAGCAATCTCTAGCATCTTCTTTCTCTCTCAACAACTGAATGCTTGTTTGGGTCTTTGATACTGCAATCAGAAACAAAAAAAATTCACCTATTTAGATTATGTATTAATGAAATTCTAAAACCATTTAAACCATACTTAATGAGTTCAAATTCAATGATGAGGAACCCACTTTGAGACTAATAATGGCTGGAGATGGCTTGAATGGGTAATGAAGAAAAACTTTAATATAAGTTTAAAATAGCAGCAAATGTACAACGTTTCGACAAGGTTTTTGTCATCATTCAAGCCATCTCCAGCCATTATTATATTTAACGAGTACTTGTTTCAAACTACTAGACTAAATAAATACTGTTTTCTTATGAAAAAATATGTTGGAAAGTTTACAGCAGTTGTAAGTTCTCAAGTCTGTATACAATAAGTAAATTGTCAGCAGTATTAGCAGTACCAAAATAAAACCTTCTATTGTACTACAAAGTCCAGATAAACTGCTTACCACTTGATTGCATTGTGGGTTCTTCACCATGTGACGTTTTCTTTTTTCCTTCCTTCATAAACATGGTCTGAATCCTACTTTCTTTACACCTTTTTCTTGAGATAAAGCTATCAGCTGCTGACTCCTTATCTTTTGTTGTCTAACAAGATAAAAACTTTCTTTTTTAGAACTTATGAAAAAAAATATTAAAAGGCTGATGTTTAAATAGTGTTGAATGGACACTCAACACAACACTATCAAATATAGTTTATCAATGTATACAGTTCCAATACATATTAACAAGTGTTTGAAATAAAATCATTAAACCCCATAAGTGAACTCCATAAAATTACCCAACAGCTCAAACAGTGGTCTGTCATCCACCAGATTCTTAATAAAGAAATGATTCTTCAAAATGTTCATTTTCTGGACTGTAAACAGCTCAGATAAATATAAACAAAAAACATGACACTCATCATTAACAGAAACCTTCAAGGAACCATCAATTAATCAATAATCTCTGATTTCACATCCACCACTTCCATTACCAAATTTATCATTTTTAAGTGATTGTTGGCTACCCATGAGCTGAGTAACTGTCTACACATTTATAGGCATGTACTACTGAATCCATTTTAAGCAGCATGTTTTTTTTCACTTTATCTGATATAACTTTCCAACCCTTTTAAACAGCTGTCTACACTTTATTACTAGGCATTGGAAGTTTATGTTGTTTTTGTTTTTTTGATAAAAGATTTAGCACCAAGGATCACATATAAAATGTAATACTTAAAATAAGACCCAATAACTTGAGCACTTTCGAATAGTTGACTATTCTTCTTCAGGAAGTTTATGTTAACATTAATTCTGGAAATGACCATATGTATACAAGGTACAGTGTGCCAGAATATTTTCCTGCTAAAAACAATGTAGAAAAATTAGCTTTAGCAATATGTAAAAGTAAAAAAAGCCTCTTAAAGATATTTACTAACTTAAAGCATTCATATTTTCGATTAATTTATACTTTTTATAACATTTAAATGCTTTTGTATTAGAGCCAAAAAAGTAGTGGAATTTGATAATTGATTAATTTTCAGACTCATCAGTTGATTGCATTCAACTAATTGAATGATCTCATGAGACTTGGAGAAATGACTAAATAATAAGAAATATTAATTCCAATTATTCGATTTTTTTTTGTGAATCGTAACATGAATTACTGAAGCTGCACAACCTTGGATTAATAAAAATAATGAGAAATCATAACGGAAATATTTTGATTACTTCGACAGTTAAACAATTAAAATCAATATTTGGAAATATTAATTTTCATTAGTTATTTATTTTCATAACATCAATCAACTTAACTGTAATTTCAATTAATCAATAATGTTATGGAATACCAATCAATACTTTATATTTTATACCAATCATTTTACTTATTGAATGTTTCACTTTCAAGTGTTCCAGAGATAGCTATTACATTTTACAATTACCGTTGATTTCATCTTTGTATTAACACATTCTTATTTATAACACAATACAATAAACTGTTCTGTATTTACCAGCTCTACACGCTAAACGGTGTAATAACTTTTTACTTCTATTTCATGTAGCAGTTAACATATTCTTACGGCACAACCTATGATTCTAGAACTGCCTTTATTCTACATCAATAATTCATCATTATCTGAAGGACAACTACCTCAGTTTCTTCTTTCTTATGTAAAACTTCATCCTGTGATAAAGCAGATACACAACTTTCTTCTGTTTTAACGATTTCCATCATAGATTTAGAGTCAGAATTTTCTTCTTTACTGTCAAATATTTCACATACAGAGTTGGAAAGTAAATTTGTTTTAAAACTATTGTCACAAGCATATTTGGTTTCTATTTCTACTTTTAAATCTTTCAGGTCATATTTGGTGTCAAGCTTTCTTTCTGATGTATCTTCATCAAGACAGGTTTCCTTCTTACAAGCTTCATCAGTGGATCCAGAAAGAGCACCACTTCTCAAATTTTCTTCCCCACTGTCAAATATTTCATATACAGAGTTGGAAAGTAAATTTGTTTTAAAACTATTGTCACATGCATATTTGGTTTCTATTTCTACTTTTATATCTTTCAGGTCATATTTGGTGTCAAGCTTTCTTTCTGATATATCTTCATCAAGACAGGTTTTCTTCTTACAAGATTCATCAATGGATCCAGAAAGGGCACCTCCACCCAAAATATCTTCACTAACGTCAACATGTAGTAGTACTTCTCTTGTATCTAAAAGCAAAATTTAAAATTTTGTAAAAAAAAAAGTCTAAGGAAGAAACAATTGAACTTTAAGTTCTCCAAATATAAAAAATAAAAAAAACTCAAATTTGTGGTAACTTCATATAAATATTATTTTCTAAATGGTTCACTTGAGATGTGAAGTGTGTTCTACAGGTATTAGACAAAATAATGGTATATAGAGAGATGTTTGAAGAACCCTGATAAAGAACCACCATCAGTGTTTTTAATCTCAAGAACTGTTTTGGGGAACCATGATGAAGAACTACCACAGTGTTTTTAACCTCAAGAACTGTTTTGGAGAACCCTGATGAAGAACTACCACCAGTGTTTTCAACCTTAAGAACTGTTTTTGGAGAACCATGATGAAGAACTGCCATCAGTGTTTTTAACCTCAAGAACTGTTTTGGAGAACCATGACGAAGAACTGCCATCAGTGTTTTTAACCTCAAGAACTGTTTTGGAGAACAATGATGAAGAACTACCACCAGTGTTTTCAACATCAAGAACTGTTGAATTGTCATTTTTTTGATCGTACAAAGAAGTCTTCATTTTTTATTCAGAAGTCTTCTTTGTTTCTTTATATGATCAAAAAATGACAATTCAAAAAAGGAGAAAAAAAAATTTGGCTAAAATAAAATGGGGGGGGGGCGAGCAATTGCTAAAAAAGGAAGTGGCCAGGGACACTAAACATGCATTTTTTTTATTTGGGTTAATCTCTCAGAATAATACAAATTATAGAAATAATTTTAACATGAGATTCTTGTTCCTTATATTTATATAAAAAATTGTACAATTTCAGAACTATAATAAATGTTTTAAATCTATGACAAAACCTTGTCGAAACATTGTAAATTTGCTGTTATGTTAAACTTGTATTAAAGTTTCTTCATTACCAATTCAAGCCGTCTCCAAGCACTACTGTTTAGATGACTTAGGAGATTTTTCAGTCACAACACCAAGATCATTTTCTTCAACTACAGTATTTAACGTATTCACATTTAAATTGTGAAAACCTACATCCATCACCTTACATTTTGGATAGTTAAACATCATCTAGCATGTATTGGTCCAATACATCAAATGATTTAAATCTCCCTGTAAGTCTGTAGCATCTTTGATACAGTTAGCCACCCCCAAAAGTTTAATGACGTCTACAAACTTCAAAATTTTATTAGTCTTCCGGAGTGAATATCATTAATATAAATCACAAACAGCAGAGGACCCAGCACATGTAACTTGTGATCCAGTCAGATCTAACTCCATTTATTACTACTCTCCAGCCAATTTTCTATCCAAATTAATAACATTTCCCCCATACCCACAGATTTAATTTTTGTAACAAGTAATTAAACAATATAGCCAACTACGAGACTTAAACATTTACTTTTTAAACATTTGTCAAGGCTCCAAAATAAGGCAGAAACTATCATGCTAGTATGTAACATCTCATGTAAAAATTTCTACAAATTTAAAAAAATGAAGTTGCTAGGCATTATTCATTTTAAATTAGAATCTATAATTACCATAAAGTTCACGTCCACATTCTATATTTATATCAATCAAGAGGGCATACTGACAGCACCAAAACTGCTGCATTTTCAAGTGTTCAAATACATTGGAACAAATATAGAACGTTGTGAAAAATACATTAAGCCTAATCCTATTGTCTTACAACAAACACAATTAATTATAATTGTAAGCAAGTTTTATAAGCAAAGAGATTCATACCATTATTCCACATTTGTGTTGCAAAAAAATAAAATTTACCATTCCTCTCTTTTTTCAATATATACTTCATTTGATGTAACCCATTTTTGAATTCTGTTGCCTCCCCTCCATTTGGCACAGAGGTATGTCTGCAAACTTACAAAGCTAGAAACCGTGTTTAGATACCCATGGTGGGCAGAACACAGATAGCCCATTGTACAGCTTTGTGCTTCACTTCAAACAAATTGAATGCTATTATTTCTTCTCAAATGCAAATAAAACTGGTACATACGTGTTTTTTTCCACTAACAGACTGCTGTTGATTAACAGTATAACTCAACATTCAAAATTAAATCGTAATTTTGGAGAAAACATTCATAAAAACTAGGTTAATAAAGTGAAGTGTAAAATTAAAGTGGTCTAAAAACAAATTAAGTTAATGCTACAAATATATTGTGTTATGTTACATGTTGAAGAAAAATTCACTAAAGGATTTTTATTAAATATATAGTTTTAAGTTTCCTTTAACCATATGATACAAAAAATATATGAATAATTTTAATCTTAAAGTTTCAAGCTTCACTTCAGCCTTCACGCATAGCAACAATTTTCTCACTACAACTTCAACTTTAAAAGATAAATTTGAAAATTTAGATACCTGCTACCGCTAGGACTTTTGCTGCAAATGTTGAAACGTTCTCAATCCTAACGTTAGATGTGCTGTTGCTACTAGTAGTAGTGTTAATGTCTAGCTCAACACATTTATTATTTTCGGCTTCTAAACTACTATTACTATTAGTATTACTACTACTTTTTCTCTTCTGCCTAGGCCTACACCAAACTCTTACAATTTCGTTAACACGTATTAATGGGTTTTCTTCATTTTCGTAACCCAATATCGAATCACTACGACAAATTTCAATTGCATTATTATGAAAAAAATATATAAGCGCAAACTTCATTATTATTAACAAATTAATCCTTAATTACTCTCTTCTTCGATAAATAACAAATCAAAATCCAACTTTAAGAGCGTTACACTGAACTATCAGCGCGACATCAAGTGGTGAACATAGGAAATTTGTATCAGTATGGTATATTGAAACATTGAGAAATTCTTCAGAAACTAAAATATAATTATCCAATGATTAAGAATTAATAAATTGTTTTCAAAATAGACTGTTAATGGTTACAAGTATAACAAAAATTTGAGCGACCCAGAAGATCTTAGAAAGATAATTCATGGTTGCTCGAAGTAGCTTCTTTGAGCGTCTATAAAATTTACTATTCATAATAGAAGTAAAAAATAAACACTCGAGACTTTTTCGAATTCGATGAGGAGGAACCCACTTTGAGACTAATAATCCTTGGAGACTTTGATAATCACTTAATGCATTACAAAAAATTGTGGCAAATATACAGCTAATTATAAGGTTGTGATATTGAAATGCAGGCAAATAATATTTTTCTACTTGCTTTAGTTGTTTAGAACTTAAAAAAAAGAAAATATGTTATTTAGTTTCCAGACTACCCTATATCTAGTAATCTCCCGACAATTCCCGAAGGTTCGAGAGAAGGAGTGGCGTGATACTAGTCACGTGACCTCGCTGACGCAACAATATTTATATATATAAGATGGTGACAATGTGACGGGGTAATGTGTGTAGGTAGTGAGTAATTGAACTGCAATCAGAGAGTAATGTTGAAGTTAACGTTCCTTGTTACAGCGTTTGATATAGAGTGACTGTTGAAAATAAGTGTATCGGTAAAGTTATATTCAGAAAGCATAAACCAGTTTTATTAAGAAAGGACATTTGCTGCTAAAGTTTCGTGGGAACGAAGTTACGGAAAATCAACTAACGACTGGAGGCGTAACAAATTGGTGTCAGAGAGTGGGGCAGAAAAAAAAATGGAAACGAGAAGTGGCAAATCAAACTACAGCACAGCAGACCTAATGGCAGCAATACAAGAACAGCAAAAGAAACAAGAAGAACGAGAAAAGAAACAAGAAGAACGAGAAGAAAAATTACAACAGTTGTTTGAGGAAAAAGAATGAAACAAGACGAGAGACAACAGCAGTTGCAAGAAAACATGCGACAGTGGCAGCTTGAACAACAAAATAAACAAGAAGAGAAATTACAGCAGTTGTTGGAGGAAAAAGAAAAGAAACAAGAAGAGAGATTACAGCAGTGGCAACTGGAACAAGAAAGGAAACAGAAAGAAAGTCAGCAGCAACTACAGGAAAGTCAACAACAGTGGCAAGTACAAATAGAAAACATTAGTAAATTTCAAAGCGAATTA